GGGTCCCCAAAGTGGAGCTTTGAAGGGCTGCTCTGACGAGGGCCAGGGAGATGGCTGCCCCATCATCTGCCTTTCAGAACGCTCAGGGACGCCCCTGGAGGCACAAGTAGCCAGGCAGTCTTCCAGGACTCGGTGGGAATCAACTCACCTGAAAGGCCTTTCCCGAGACTCGGGCAGGCCTTCTTGGGGGCGCTTCTGAAACGAGGTGTTCTGTGCAGAGGCACACGCGGGGGTGTGGGTCCTACCCTCGGCTCAGTGCGGGAGTCACCAGGCTCACTTGCAGCCAGCGGGGGGAAGCAAGGCTCTGCTGCTCTGTGCCCCCCGTTTCACAGCTACAAGCCAACAGCTGTGGCGAAGGGGTCAGGACAGCGTTGAGCATCCCATTTAAAGGGAACACCGGCACTTTAAAGTCAAACTCAGAACCGGGCTGTTGACAGCTGCCTGTGAGAAAGCCCGGGGCACCTGCTGGGTCCACCATGCCATGGCCCTGCTCTGGATGCCTGGGCCTGGCTCCTGCAACAGGACTTCCTCAGGAGAATCCCCCTCTCTCAGGAGCAGCCCACTATCCGACTTGGAACGAGGCCATGGCCCACTGCAGACTCCTGGTCAGGGAGGGTGGTCTGTGGTCCTTAACATACAAACAACCCACGAGTTGGCCTGCAACTAATTAAACTTCAGAAATTCTCCAAAAATAATGACCTGAACTAAATAAAATGTCCACTGTTGGATAACTTTTGATCACAAAACAACAATTTTATGTGGTTCAACTTTCTATTTTTGTGGCTAGCCTTAAAAACAAATCAAGAGCAGCACGTCCACATCTTAGAAGGACCCTGGGAAGGGGAGGAGGCCCTGGGGCCAGGGAGAGCGCCACAGCAGCACAGGTGTGTGGGTGCCCAGAAGAATGTGAGCCTGGCATGGAGCAGTGGCAGACCTACAAGCCAGGGCATTAGCAAAAAGGCAAGTGTGCTGGCACCCAGGGCCGGCTCGTTACAAACCGCTTTTTGAAAGGGATAGAACTGACCTAAATGTAAGATATGACTGAAAAGAAAAAAAACCCCACAACACAAATTATGTTAGACACATTCAAAACAGGCACAGGCAATGGAACAGTCCCGAAGACATTTCTCAGATGAAAAGGAACCCATTCCTTGTAGTCTGCAAAGAGGATCAATTTCCGTGAACCCACAGCTTCCAGGGGATGCTGAGGTACCCCATCCCAAGACTTTCCCTCCTTCACTAGCGTTAGCAGACGCAAGCTGCTGTGGAGCACCCTGTGCTGAGGCTGGGCAGCTGGGGATGGGGGTCTGCCTGGCAGTTCTGTGCCAGCAGTCCCATGCTGCCACCACCACCAACCACCAGCTCCACCTTTTGAAACTGGAAAATCTGCATACCTGGGCCCTGTGCAGGAGGAAGTGACTGCACTAAATCAAAAGAATGAAATAAAAGAAGAAAAAGGAAAAACCCCCAGGTTTCACATGCAGAAATATGCCAAGTCCCAGCCTCAGCAGCAACCACTGTTGAGGGGACCTGGAGCAGGGGACCCCGTTAGGGAGGTGAACATGCTGGTCTGCACTGCCTTCCGAGTCCCCAGGCACCGAGACAAAGAAGGGTACCGAGACTCTGCTGGCCACAACACTGAGGTGCCTGCCCGCACTGCAGGGCTGGGGTAGCGGACGGCTTCATCCTCTCCAGGGCTACTACAGGACTTTGTGGTCACCAAGACCCACGAGCTGCTGCAGAGGACACAGCCAGTGTGGGGGCCTGGGGTGGACTCCAGAGCCAGGCAGGAGGGGCAGGCATGGCCTCCTGGAGCTGTGTGTGAGGAGTCCCAGAGGCAGGTCCCCAGATCTGGGGCCAGCTAACACGGCAGTGGGGCCCCAGAGTGGGAGAGAAGGCTGAGGCAGGTGGGGGACCTCCGATTATTCCAATATCACTCCTCTGCCAGTCACCTCTGGCCTGGACCACTGTCAGTGGCTCATTGGGCTCCTTCTCCAGGTCTGGCGTGGCCCTACTCTCTGGACGCTGGTGGGACAAGGCCAGTAGGGTCCCACTCTGTGCCAGTATCACTGTTGGCTCATGAAAAACTCACGAGTTCTTGCAACTTTAGCCTCGACATTTCTAAGTTACACAACAAAGCTTAGGTGAGGTTTAGGATTTTACGTGCTTGTCCCCTTGTGAGATTAGACACTTTCTCACCTGCTTTATAAGACAAGTTTCTGTTTCAAGACCTCAGACCTCAGCGGTCTCGTGGGTAGACTGAGGGAAGGAAAGTTCCCCGACTAGCTCTGGGGCTCTCCCGTGGGGACGGTGCGCCTGAGTGCCTTGCTCTGAGGCCCCCACGTCCTCCCCTAGGAGACAAACCCACCTCTCCCTTCCTTGCACTACAGTAACATCCCTGGCCCACCCGGTGGTTGGAGGTGCTCAACAGGTTGGGTCACCCACACGATCACTGCAGCCCACGGCTCACGGAGCTGGACGGGAGGTGGGGCAGAGCAGGCAGGATGTGGCAGGGGGCCGGGAAGCACCGTTCCCTCAGCGCCTCACGGGGGGATGGTGGACGGCTTTGGATGTGCACCGTGTCCTACCGAGCCTCCCCCCGGATCACAGAGACCCACGTTTAGAAATTCGGGAGCTCTGAGAAAAACCTGGAGGTAGTTCTGCAGGATATGGACAATGAGGAACCCGAGCATTCCAGATGCAGCTTCCGTTCATCTTGTACAAGACACGCTGGTGGCTCTGTCCATTCCCTTGCCTGACCACATCACTGAACCTGGGATCAGCCCAGACTCGGGAGCTTCTCCTACACCAGGTTCCCTAGAAATAACACCAATTTCAAGTCCATTGGTGCCGAAAAACCAGACAGCAATTAGAATACCTTTAATTGTACTTAGAACCACTTAGAAATTCAAGATTGCTTTAAAATCACCATATCTAAAATCTCAGGGTAGTTCATCTCCTTAAGGATGTGTGTATATCTACAGACATCTGAGCAGATATTCATTTACACTGTGATGATTATTTATAAAAATCATTATCCAAAATAAATTTTTGGTATGTGTCTAGAATGTTAGCTGCTATAATTAACTTCTGTGCTGAGTAGACCAATAAAAGCTTTAAAAAAAAACGTCTGGCAAGACATTTTTAGGCCACTGAAGACACTGAAGTGTCTTTATAAAGCACACTGCACTGAAGCATCAAGTTCTCAATTCATGCTTAAGAACCCGTCGAATGTACTAAGTTTAAGGAATTAAAGTTTATCTGAGAAGATACAATGCAGCTGCGCTCTCTGATGTAGCTGTCACTGAGTTTGTGAAAGTGGCTAATTGCCCACGTATGAGTCTCATTTTCAGGCTGTTGGCAGGCAAAGAGTTTAAGTTAACAATAAGCTTATTGAGAACTTTACTGCCATTCAGATGTGTTCCTGTTTAAACCTTTCAGCCAGCGAGAGTTGATCTGCATGCATCATTTTCATGGCTCTTGCCAAGAATTATGTGACCACATGCCAAAACTAACACAGCCACTTGGAATGGGTGGAGACCACAAGCTCTTGTCCTGCAGCCTGGCCATATGCCACCTGGGCGGAGATAACGTGAAAACAGCGAGTTGGTGTGGTCAGCAAGCTGTGACGTCAGTGATAGTCACCGAGTCAGGCGCAGGTACCAACCTTTCTGGAACACGGGATGGTGCAGAGCAGGCAGAGGGAGCCCTTCGATGGCTGGGGGCTTGTGGAAATAGGCGTCCAGCCAGGCTGCGCATCGCATCAGGGGCTCCGATGTTCCCTCTGGACCGCTGACAACCTCAGGAGCTGCTGGGGCCTCCGCAGGGCTGCAAAAGGACCACAGGGGCTTAGTAAACTTCTGGGCCCTGCCTCCACACATGGGAAGAGTGAATGGCCGCTGTGTCTAGCTGGAGGAATGTCTGTGTCCCACCAGCTGCCCAGCAGGAGCGAGCAGGAAGACGCTGGGTCACCCCCCACACCCCGCCACCTCCTGGCTTAGGACACTGAGGACCCATGTGTGAGCTCCAAAGGTCTACGGGCACCAGGCACAGATGCACAGAGCAGGAGCCATGTGCACCAGTCACGGGGCGAGAGTGTGCCCTTTCTAAGGCAACAGCCACAAAAGTATCAAGTAGCCATCATCAAACATATTCTCCAGAAACGGCAGCATCAGCTATAGCACACATGTCCCCCAAGCTACTCTGGACCCCAACAGCAGGAGGATGCCCCGTCTGGGGTTATTTTGACTCATGTGCCCACTCCACTTGGCATTCCCAGGCTCAGAGCACTGATCCTCAGGGGAGTTGCTGGTGGGCCTGGCGCTTCGATGACAGCACTGTGGCTTCTACACCCAGGGCGTCTCCTGGTTCCTTCTCAAGTCTTCCGGCTCATTCTTCCTGGTCACCATCTCCCTGCCCTTTGATGTCCTGAATTTGAACCCCAAACATTTGGGGTTAATCAGACTGCTCCCTGGCTGTGTCTGCATGGACACTCCTCCTCTGCCTCTTGGTCTGGCCCCACACAGAACCCACTGCTCATCTTCCACCTGTTGGCAGGTGGTTTTCTTTCCGATCCTGGGCCCTGGAGCTGTAGGCAGATTCGGTTTTATTCCAGTTGCTCAGGATTCACCCCATGAAGCAGTGGCACTGGGCCTGATGTCTTGGATGACTTTCCGCCTGTCCAGCCTCGGACAGGCACAAGCTTCCAGATCCTTCCCAGGCCTGGCGGGCATAGCTTTTCTACTCTTCTCTGCAGGTAGCACAGCTTCTGAGGCTCTTGTGGGAAGCGGGACAGAGCCTCCATGACGTCCCTGCGGGATGCTTCCCGGCATCCTTCCCGAGCTCCTGCGGCACCCTGGGTCCCGAGAGGCCTGGAGTGTGAGCTTCCATCATCAGACCATCTTGTCTTCTCTCCATTCTCTGAGCATCCCCGTGAAGCAGGGGGCCTCCGTTCACTGGAAACACGGCCCAGCACAGGCATGAAGGCGGGGCTGAAGTGCCTGGGAGCCCAGGTCTGGCTGTGTCTGCCGAGTTGGGATGGCAGAGGAGATGGATGGAGAAGAGGAACCAGGAGGCCACCCTGGGGGGCAAAAGTCTCAACAAAGAGGAGAAAAGGCTTGTGCATGGCTGATCTCAGGGTGTGGGCAGGAGGATAATGAGTCATGGAAAGGTGGACACAAATTTTGCATGCCAGTCACTGTTGAGGGCCATAGCCTAGTCGGGATGATGCATGGCATTTTTGCCAGAACACACCAGCAAGCCATTGAGATGATGATGGTTATGTTAAGCTGTGTATTCAATTGTATATTAGATCCCTGCTGTCCACCTGCTACATTGGAGTTCTCACAGGGATTCCTGGGGAGTTCCAGTTGGTTGGGGAAGTGCTGGAGGAGGGATTTCCAGTTGGTGTGTGGTGTGTCCTAGGAGAAGGCCGCGTGCGTGGCACGGTGTTCTCGGGAGGGAGTGTGGAGAATAAAGCAGTTCCTGTTTTGAACCTACAAGGTTATATGGCGGCTTGGTTATTTTGTGCCCAGCCAGACTGCGGCATTTGGTGGCCCATGCAGGGAACGCCTGAAGCTCGGAGGTAAGTAAAATTGCTTGCCTTTGAGGGAAGGCGAGAGAATGGGTGACCATTTCAAAAAACAATGTGTTCTTGTTTTGATTTGTTTTGTTTTTCTTTCAAGCTGCCTATCCCTAGAACTTTCTCAGGCAAACTGGGAAAAATGGTTGAAGGTTTGAAGTTGTTCGGCCCTGAGGAAGAGATAGAGATAGACCACGAATATACATTTCAAAAAAATAGGAAAATTGATAGGATTTTTTGTTCCGTTTTGCTTCAGTTTTGTTTTATCTGTTTGAGTTGCGTTATCCTTGTAGCAGAAATATGGGGTCCCTAAACAGGGGAATGTACTGCCAGAGGCCAAGAGG